AGAGAGAGAGAGAGAGAGAGAGAGAGAGAGAGAGAGAGAGAGAAATTGCTGATAAAATATTACAAATATTTCTGTAAATTACTAACAAAATGTTTTATTTAATATTTTTATTTAATTGACTTAAAATTAATTTCTAGCTAATGATAGCGTGCATTACTATAGCGTATATTAATTGCTGTTTTGAATTTATATTCCCGTAATAAAAGACAAATACATTTATCATTAATATTACTTAAGCACTTGTCTAAGTGCTCATGAGTGCAATTTTTAAGGTAGAAAATCATAAAATTCAACTTAATAACTTAATCAATGGTTCACTGTACACTATACAATGGCATACTGTTCAGTAAATCCAACCAATATTAACATTTTATACAGCTTATGTACTTTACAAAAAATACTAAATTTAACTTAATTATGTTAAGTTTTAATTTAATTTGTCAAAAGTGTAAATAAATTTAAAAAGTCACTAAAAATATTGAACATGAGGGACACATACCGTGCATTGGGGGTAAGAGTTGTGAGTGTCTCATATAGGGTGACCAGTGGCCGAAGGCTGGATTTAAACTGACACCACTATTGTAATAGTCGGGTGACATGTGATTAGTTCTGGACAATGAGTTCATCATCGATAAGGCCATGGGATGTGCGGTCGGAGCCGATGGATGGGGTGCTGAATGGTGTGAATGGCTGTGCGGATGACTAGCGGCTGCGGCGGCGGCGGCCGCGAAGTGTTGGGCGGCCGACATGTGGTGCGGCAACTGTTGCGGCGGTTGACCACCGGTCGTGCCGTAACTATTCATGAAACGTAACAAATCACTGGTAGGTATGGGATGTGAGGGCCCAAAGGGTGATGACTGTTTGGACGGCTGCTGTGGCGGCGGACCCGCAATCATATGCGGCGGCGAAAGACTTTTGCGCTCCGACTGAGGGCTCGGTGTCGACGACTGGCGCGAAGACGAGCCATCTTTACACGAGTCGCCGCTTCCGACCAACGCGTCGATAGAGAACGAGTGCTTCGGCTTCTGTTGAGCCGTTAATCCGTTCAACAGTTTGTGTCTATTATTGACAATCACTGTCTGATCGCGAGTAACACAAGGCATCATCACTCGAGGCCTGGGATTCACGAGATTATCACTTAATCTCTCAGACAAACGCTATAAACAATATTATTGTAACTTTTGGTTTGCGTTTCGCGTAACCGACAACTCGTCAATCATTACAAAACTTATTGATTGTTTGCTTCAATTTACAAGTTTGATATCAAACCAAAACTAAATTAACCAAAAAAACTTTGTTCACTATAAACAGCGGTCGGAGTTGTAATTAAAGTTTGATTTATAATATAAAACTTTCACTACTTGTTTGCTATTAAACGAGAATAAGACAAAACGTTTTTTTTCAATCTTCTTCTTCGTCAGCAACAGATGAATACAATAAAAAAGTTTTCCACAAAAATAGCGTAAAAACTTTGTCAACGAAATAATCAAAAAACAAAAAAAAATAGTTAAAAACTGCTATTTTGGGCCAACAGTTGCGATGAGATGATCAATGAATGAATTGTAACAAAACTTTTTTTGTTACACTTTTTTAATGTCTTTTCCGCTTAAATACTAATTTAAATGGTTTTGTCGTTTTTGAGCGATGAAGACGACGACGACTAACAACAAGAAAAACTCAATGCAAAGCGAGTGTAACGTAAGAAAACACCAAAATATATATAAGTTATATAAAAAAGTGTGTAGTTTTGAAACGAGGGATCAAAACGAGTCACTTGTGTGTTGTTGTAGTACTTTGTTGTTGTAATGCTATAACAAGACTAAAGTGGTTGTTGTAGTAGTAAAGTAGTGGTAGAGTGTTGTTAGCGTTGGTGTCTATGCCGTGCACTCGAGGTCTGAGTCGAGCCTAACGTCGCCCTAACACGCCGTCAACCACTCCTTCCCAGCGCTCCCATTGGCTCTAATGAGCGCTTCGGCTAAACATATACTGTGTATTAGACATGCAACTAAATTTCCCTTTTCCCTCTTCCCTGCAGGGATTCCCTTTTCCCTTAAGGGAAAAAGAGGGAAAGGGAATGGAAAATGA